GCCCCCGCTGTCGTCGGAGGGCCCGAGAATGAGCGGCCGCATCTGGCACTCCGGCCCGATGCCGTCTGCGGGTGGGACGACGTCCCGAACGCGGAATCCACGCACCTCCCCTGGCCGAAAATTGGCGCTGGGCGCGACCAGCGCCGCCGCGGCCACATCCGTGCGACCCGTCAGGTGCAGGGCTACAGCATGCCTGCAGGTGGTCGGATACGGCGGAGGTAACCGACCCAGCAATGGCCCCCGTCGCCCCCGCGCCATCAGGAATCTCTCGAACCTGGCGAGCGGCTTGGCGTTGGGCCTCTTTCGGTTCGGGTAGACGTGCAGTACGGCAGCCTTCAGCTTCTCGTCATCTGGCTTTTTCCTGCCCCCCAGGTAAGCGTGGCCCGCCCAGCCCAGCAGGGCCTCCTCCAAGAAGTCCAGGGTGTCGAGCTTCAAGTCCTGGCGGCGGGCGGGCGCGAAGAACTTCTCGACCCGCCTGTTGTAGTCCCTGATCTGGACGGGCCTCGCCGCGATGCTCTCCAAGTATGAGATGCCTTCGCTGCTGGCTGAGCACTCGGCGGCAGCCTGCCTTGTCGAGGTTGTGACCCGCGATCTCTGCGAGCCTCCGCGACGCCCTGCTGGCGTCGCCGGCGATCGGGGTAGGACAGGTAACTCGGATGCTCCTGCGTTCGCCAGCGGTAGCGGCTCCCGAACGCGCAGGTCCAGTCGCCCAATCGGCAGCGCGGCCGCCACCTCCAGGCGCCTGGTCGCGTTGCGGGTCACTACCCTGCAGCTGGCCTCCGTCTCATTGTTGGCGCTCTCGTGAACGCGCCCAGGAGGAGGGCGCCATGCGCGAGCAGGATCTCCCAACGTGGGCCCCCGCTGCCGAGAAGGTCCATCAGCGGGGTTCACCGCGGACGGCGTCCAGCGGCATTGCGCCTGTGGCCAGGTCGCCAGTTGGAGGGCCGCCATCTGTCGGAGGTGGCCCAGCGAAAGCGGGGTCCCTGCATGTGCCCTTCTGGAGGACGAGCACGAGGTCCGCGCTGTCCACCAGCATGAGAATCTTACTGTGACGCCAGCGGCCGCATCGCACCACGCGCTCAAGCCCAGCGTGACACCTCGCGCCTCCTTGACGTGGACGGCCCCTCATGCTCACCACGAGGTCTCTTGGCCACCGCGGCCCACTTCGCCTCGCTGACGGAGGCAGGGTGGATGTCGGGGAAGTCGTCGCAGGTGAGCCAGGCCGCCTCCTCTGCACCCATGAGGTTGCCGTCCCTGTCGATCGGGGGCTCGCCCAACTCGTGGCCGGCCAGGGCGACCTCTCGGCGTTTGCGGTGCGGGTCCTTCTTGAAACTCCAGCGCTCGTCCAAGCGACCTGCAACCGCCCGAGGTCCGCGTAGACCGGCGGCAGGATGGCGGCGGCGATGAGCAGCTCCCGCTCGACGCCAGGCCCGATGTTCTTGGCCTCGTCACCAGCAGATTCGGCGAAGGCGAACGCGGCGGCAACGCGTGATAGACACGCAGTCGCCGCAGCAAGGAAGCGAAGCACAGGTGTCCCAGTAGGGCCCGCATCTCCCTCCCTGCACAGCGGCCTCGCCGTGCGAGGGCATGCGGCCCTGCATAGAGGCGCCGCGCGCTTTGACGAGAGCGTGAACACCTGCCTCTGGCCGAACATGTGCGCGCCCGCGATGTCCATGGAAGTGCTGACCTGCTCGATCGATCTCATGAACCCCGAAGCCCGCTCTCCGCGCGCTCTCAAGCGACGCGGTGTAGCTCGCGAACTTCATTCTCGTTGCATCCGATGACTCCTGGCGAACAGCTCCTTCATCCTGAGCTGGCGGCGGCGTGCTATCTCGTAGAAATCGAGCAGAAGGCAGACCAGCACGAAGTAGCTCTTCATGAGCCAGCTGAGCAGCCCACATGGCCCAGGAGAGGCCCATCGGCAGCGCCTGGGGCGCCGGGTACATGAGCTCGCGCGGGTCCACCTTGGCGCCGCCGACGGTCTGAGCCCCCACTGCCGACGCTCGCGCCGGCGGCAAGCGAAGTGCTGCGACGGTTCCACATCCATCTTGAGCTCGTGAAAGTAATACTTGTTGTCGAAGCTGGCCGCGTAGATGGCATGGCCTGAGGTGGCCTCCAGGCGGCTAAGGGAGTCTTGAGTCGCATGCTGGTGGAATATCAAAACGAATGGTGCTCCTTCTTGCGTCGCATATGAGTCGCGAGTCGCCGCGCTTGTTACGAACGAACAAACAAACCAACGCTTTCCTTGCATGTTCGAATCCATCGCACCAGTCCCCTGTCACGAAGCTGTCGACAAACCCCTCCCACTTGGCAGGACGTGCCTCCAGCGCTGGGTCAAAGTAAAGGTTGGGCAGCCCCTCGCTCTTGATGCGCAATGCGTACTCCTTCTCGTCGCATGGGGGAATGGCGTCGCGAAGCCGCCTGTGCTTGTGCGACGCGGCATCAGGCAAGACGTTGTAGACGTCCACCCCCGCCAGGTCGCGGCTGGGCAAGGAGACTTGAGCCGAGCCAGACGGCGCAATTGTCCCGGCGCACCCGCTGTCGCCGCAGCGAGCGCGCGCGCGCAGAAGCGCCGCGAGGGCTGCTTGCGGCGCGAGCCGCTCCTTCGGCAGAGGGGCGGCGGCAACGGCATCTCGGGCCAGAGCAAGGGCAGTCCTCAGCTTTTCACCTCATGGACCGCCTGGCGATGTGCTGTCGGCGCCCCCGAGCTCGTTGCAGGCCCAAAAAATCTCGTCGGAACGCATGCCCATCCAAGCGCGCCTGCAAATGCGCGGTCTAACTCTGCGACTGAGTCGACCGCGAGGGCCTTCGCAATCGCGGTGACGAGGCAGCGGCCATAGGCCGCGCTGGCGACCATCTGGGAAGACAACGACTGCATGGCGGCCCAAGTCTGGCTGCGAAAACCTAGAGGCCGCGGGGCGGCTAGCCCTTCATCGCGAGGGCCGCCTCCACGCGGGCCTGGCGTCGTTCCTTCTGGATCTGCGCCGCGCCCTGAAACTGCGGGGCAACGTGCGGGGTGAACTGCGGCGCCGCAGCTGCAATCTTCTTGCCGAGGCCCTGGAAGTGATCACTCCCCTCGAACCGCGGTGCCATCGGGTTGGCGGTGTCGGCCTCCTCCAGCAGCTGAATCCTCCTGGGCAGCAGCTCGAAGAACGCCAGCGCCGACGCATCCAATTGATCATATGCGATCGTCCACTCCAGAATCTCAATGAGACTGCCATGCTCATGCTCAACTCTGTCGTTGTCTGGCACGTGAGCCTCGCGCGTCGCCTTCTCCGTCCCGGTGCGAGGCGCGCGCCCCTGATCGCGGATGAGCTTGCGCAGCCAAGGAAAGGGTCGTCCTCGGCCTCTGGGTGGGGGAGTCCTTCCATGGAGGCCCCTCAAGAAGACCCACGCCGTCGGTGTAGGGACGGAACCTCCGGCCCATCTGGTCGCACAGCACTGGAAGTACTCGATCATCGGGAGCACGCGCTGGCGAGTCCGAAGGCGCCGCGGCGGCAACGGCAGGAGCCCCCGCAATGGCCGCCACCGGGCCGCCAGCGGCGGGCACGGCAGCGACAGCCAGCTCCAGATCCTGCTTCCTGGCCTCGAGGATTCTGACCTTGCTCCCGTCGGCGATGCGCTCAAGGGCGAGCGTGGCCGCGCCCAGCTTTACGTGGGCGAACTTACCCTGGATGACCGTGCTCGCGTCCACGCTCCAGTCCTGACCGACGCTCGGGGCGCCAGGCTGCCCGTCGTTGGCGACCACGATCCAAAGCGCAGCACCCCCAGCGGCAACCGTTGCAGGCGCCGCGGCCCGACAACGGCCCCAGGCACAGGCGCGATCCCAGCACCGCCTCCGGCAGCGAGGGCCCCTCCTCCAGCGGGCAATTGCACGCAGCCGGCGGCGGCCCAGCGGGAGCGGGCACCACGGCGCCTCCCACGGCTGGAGCTGGGGCGGCGGCCTGACCTCCGGGCAGCCCACTCCCAGCAACCCAACTATGATCAGCCACCCGATCGCGAACAGCGCCAGCTTCGGCGTCCGCAGCGGGGCCATCGACTCCCATGGCAGCTCGCCGCATCTGCGCAGTCGCGATCCCGTCATCGAAAATGTGGCGCTCCTCCTCGTGTGCAGCTGGCCGAGCGGAGGGAAGCGGTACAGCAGCGCGTTGGCTGGGATCGCCGGCGGCGCCGACCCCTGCACACAAGGTCGGCCGCCCAGCGCCATGAGATCCTCGGGATAGACATCGTCGCCAGGCGTCGCGATTACCCACGTCGTTCCCTGGACCTGGCAGGGCAGCGGGCGCTCGTGCCAGTATGCCTCCCCGCCCCCGTACCACACCAAGATCGGTCGACCTGGCGCGATCGGCCTCGAGTCGGCCATACACACGGCGAAGACCGCGAAGACCCACTCCCCAGACGGCGCCCGCGCAGCAGCCAGTCGCCAGCCCGACGAGGGCCGCGACCACCACCGCGATGAGCCACCACCTGCCGAAGCCTCGCGCCACCTCTGGGCAACTGGCCTCCGGGCAGCTCGGGCAGGCCGCGCCCCCGAGCGCACACGGCGGGCACTGCAGCGCAGGGCGTGCCAGGTGTGGAGAGCAGGTGCAATCTGGGCAAGCACGCTCGCTCTGCCCAGCCCACACCAAGGACGCGGTGCCCGCAGTCCGCACAGCCTCCCGCACAGCGTCCGCCAGCACGTCGCCGAGCCAGCAAAACATGCACGTGCGCTCCCCTGCGGACGGCGCGGCGGCGATCAGACCCTGGAACAACAAAAGGCTGCAGAGCGAGGCAACGGGCGAGACACGCCAAGCTCCTGCTACCTTCCCCCTACTCGTCTCACAGAACGGCCCCTCAATCATCATTACTGTGCACGCACTCTCATCACCACCACCACCACCACCACTACCACCACCACCACCACCGTCATCATCAACATCATAATCACTATCATCATCACCCACCTCACCATCACAATATGCACTCTCAAACCGTTAATTACCTGGTCAGAGCGTTCTTTACAACCATAATCGGGGCCTCGTTTTTTTTCTGCGGCTCTCTGGCGAACGGGGTAATGGGCTGGGGCTGCGGCTGCAGCTCCAGCTGCCCGCGCTCCCCCGCTGCTACCCAGAGCTGTGCGCAGGCAAAACATCTGTGCAGGCAAAAACAAATCCGCCGACCCCTTGGGGTCATCGGCGTGTGAGATGCTCCCCCCTCCCCAAATCCCTCCCCCCGGGGCCCCGGTCCGGTCGGTTTGGAGGGGGGGGGGTCCCGCCAGCCCCGGCTGAACGCGCCACGGGCTTCACGGCGGGCCATAGGGCCCCAAGAGGCCCACAAGATGGTCCAAGAGGGCCCCGGCACGGCGATGGATCGTTCCAAGACGCCCAAGATGGCCCCCAGACGGCCCGAAAGGCCTCCGAGACGCCCCAAGAAGAGGCCCCCAAGAGGCGTCCCAAGAGGGCTTCCAGAAGCAAATTTCGTCCCATGGGGGAACGTGTGATTTCATTGCATTCTCGTCTTGGGCTTTCATAACGTCCAAAACGGCCCAAGAGGCCTGCAAGATCTCCCAAGACGGCCCAGGAAGCCCCCAAGAAGGCTCCAAGACGGCTCAGGATGGCCCCAAGACGGCCCAAGAGGCCCCCAAGACGACTCCAGGAGGGAGCCCAGGCGGGAGACCCAAACTGAAATTTCGAGCGCTCGGCACCAAGAAGCCTCCAGGAGGCCCCTTGAGGCCCTCAATAAGCCCCCAAGAGGCTCCAAGAGGCCGACCAGAGGCCCAAAAGAGGCCCAAAAGAGGCCCAAAAGAGGCCCCCCAAAGGTCTCAAAAGTGCTGCCAGGAGGCCCCCGAGAGACCTACCAGGAGCCCCCCAAGAGGGCGGCGGTGCGGCGTAAGCCCAATAATCTGAACGAGTTGGTCCGCGTAGCGCGCAAACATGGGGTGCGCAGCGTGTGGCAAGGCACGGACCGCGCGGAGGCCACCGCAGAGCAGAAGCGAACGACTGATAGACCATCGTGTCAGCGCTGCACGAGACGCACAGGTGGGGACGATCAAGGCAGGGAGGTTGGAGCGAAGAGGGAGGATGGAGAAAGGAGTCCTCCTCCTCCTCCCCCCCCCTCCACCCAACCCTCCAGCCCCGCCCCTGGAGAGCGGCCTGGCGGGCCAAGGGCTCGACCCCTGGCCCGAAAAGAGAGAGGGTGCGCCGCCGACGCGCCTCCTCGCTCCGACGGCCCGAGCGGGCTGCTGGTCTCGTCGGTCTGCAAGCCGGAGTGTGAACGGTCCGACGGCCCGAGCGGCCTTCTCACTCCGGCGCCTCGCCTGCGGGACCGAGCGTGGACGCATCCGCGCCCTCTGAGCAGCGTTTATCCGACCTCCATTTTTAGCGGCGTGGCCTGGGCCCCACTGGCCGATTTACCCCCCTGGATGGGGATGTAGGCCGTTCCCTTCGGGCTTCCAGGGGTGTATCCCCAACTGGGATGGTAAGATGGTGGGGGTCTCGAGGGATGAGGATGGGGATGGGGATGGGGATCGGTTCAACGATACTGAACTTCGGCCTCGCTGGACGGCGTGACCCGCAGGTGATCTTTCTGGAGGACCTCCCAAGTGGACAGCTCGGACGGCCAGGACTCGCACGTCTGGATCTCGGCGGAGCGCATCATCATGTCCGGCAGGGACTGCCGGCTGGTGCCGAGGACGAGGCAGAGGCTGTCATTCCCGATGGCAAACTGCATCTTGTCGGGGGTTGCTCAAGGTGTCCCTGGCCCAAGGTGTCCCCAGCTTTTCGCTCCATTTTGGAGCCCCTGGGGCCCCATGGGCCTTGTGAGGGGTGCTTTGGAGGCTGTTGGGGCCCACCTGGAAATCCTGGGGGCACCTTGGGCCAGGGGCACTTCTAGCAACACCCGATCTTGGGCGTGTAGATGAATTGCTGCTGCGCACGGCCCTCGCACTTGCTGATGCCCAGGGTGGCGCCGGCCACGATATCTCCATTGACGCTGACACATCCCTGTTTCATGTTTTCCGTGGTCGCATTCCACTTCTGGATGTCGTTTTGCCCACTGTACAGCGGCTGGCACTCGGAGTTGAAGTTGACCGCGCGAAGCTCGTGCCTCTCGGAGTCGTACGTGAACTGGGTATCCTCGCCCGTCGACTTGCAGGAGTGGCCCTGAATGGACGTGCACGAGGGCATGGGCGGGGACCCGGCGATGTCCAGGCACCAACCCCAATAGTTGCTCGGGTCGACCATCTCCTTGAGATAGACGTTGGGACTGAACACGTACGGGTTGCCTTCCACGTACCCGGTCTCGACCCGCATATCCAAGTCAGCAGGCCCCGCGGGCCTGGCCTTGATGGGACTCCCGGGCGACGGCGCACCCGCCAGCGAGGAGCGGGTCTGCAGGGCCTGCAGCCGCATGGCCGAATGCTCGCACTCCTGCTGGCCGTCCACCGACGACGACGACGACGACGACGACGACGACGACGACGACGACGACGACGTGCCCCGAGACGCCGATCCTGCTGGCCGTCCGCCTCCGCCTCCGAGCTCGCCGCACCGCCCGCGCAGGTCGCGGCGAGGCCGCCCGAGGCCGCGGCGCACCCGGCGGCCGCCGCGAGCAGGAACCCGCCGGCGAGGCGCATCGTGGGCGGACGGGGGGGGCGCGCCTCGTACAGTCATCGGCATGACCTAAGGAACGATAAATAAGGAACGAAGCCCCTTTTATCCCAAGGAATAACGCATAAGGAACGATACATAACGAATAACACAGAAGGAACTGTAAATAACGCATGCAAACCTAATGAACGACCGAGCCCCTTTTGAAAAGTAAGTGTTCCTTACTCAAGCCGCTCACTGTAATCGCCCTGGCGCCAGGAACTTGGGCCAAGATGGCCACGGCAGGCTCGAGCCGTGCCGACTTCGGCGTGGGTTCCTGACACCCGCGGGGATCGTTCAACCTTGAAGGATCGGCCGCGTCCGAAACGTCAGATCGTTCAACATCGACCGATTCTGGGTCGCCATCGGCGTTCAATGTTGAACGCCGGCGGCGGGGTCGCCGCCAGTTGACACGACGCAAACCTATCGTACGGAGGATGTTGCGTTCCTTGGGGCCTGTTGAGAGCGCATTGGGAGCCTCTTGGGGGCGTGGTGGGGTCACCTTATGAAAGCCATCTGGAGCTGTCTTGGGCCGTCTGGAGGCAAGCCGGGACCGTCTTGGCGGTCTCGAGGGCCGTCTCGAAGCCATCTTCGGCCGTCTCGGAACCATCTTGAAGCATTTGGGGGGTCCCAGTCGATCGTCTTGAGCTGCGTTGAGCCTCTTCAGGGCTTCTTGGACCATCCTGAGGCCTTAGAGGCCTTTCGGGAGCGAAAAGGCGAGACCTTCAATAACCGATGGTTTCCCCCTCAGATTTTGGTATCCTGGGGGCCTCTTTGGGAATTTCTTGCGGGCCTCCAGGGGCCGCCTTGGAGCCGTCTTAAACTGTCGGGAGCTGTCTGGAGGCAAGCTGGGACCGTCTTGGCGGGATCGACGGCAACCCCGAAGCATCCTCGGCCGCCGCAGAGCCGTCTTGATTGAAGGGCCGTGGCGGCCGCAGTCGACCGTCTTGAGCCGCGCTGAGGCTCCTCGTGGGTCATTTTTGGACCACCCTGAAGCCTGCGAGGCTCGTCGTGAGCGAAAAAACGAGTTCTTGAAAAACTAGGTTGTCCATATGTTTTCAATGATTGCCGTCTCCCGTAGGCGTCTCGGGAGCGTCTTGGGAGCCTCTTGGGGGCCTGTCTTTGGGGCTATCTGAATCTACCTGGGGCTGTTACTAGAGGCTCGCCAAAACACCGAAACCAACTTACAACATGTGATGCCGATACCGCCCTTCGCCCGCGGCACGGACGCCAACCCGAAAGGCTTCCGATGTACAGCCCGCATCGAGCACTGCGTAGCCGCAGTGACGCCGTACACCATGCAACGACAACAGACACGGGGATTCGGCAGACAAACTTGCCGATGGTCAGTCCTCACCCTTTCATTGAGGAGGTCACCGCCCGGAACCGCCCCCCCCCCCCGCGCGCCGAACAGCGCGCTCGGAGAGGTCTTGGCCTTGGAGACGACCTGCCTGCCGCACGCGCGTGGGCGGGGGGGGACTTCTGCGGCGGGGCGGCGGCGGCGGCGGCGAAGGTGGGGGAGCACCAGCAGCACTCGAGCGGTCCAGTGTTTTTGCTGGCCCGCAGTGCTCCAGCTTCTGTGCCACAGTGCAGCCTGGGAGAGCGCCCGGGCCTGCAGGCAGAGAGCGCAACGACACTCTATGCCTGCCTCGCAGGTGGAGAGAGCCGGGGTTCCCTCCAGCCCTCCGGCAGAACAGAGATAGTGGAGGCGACACCCCCCACGTTGCGATCGCTCGGACGGCCATTCCCCGTGCATGTCTCGGCTTCGCTCGTGGCCTTCCCCTGACGGGTCCAAGATGCGCCCCGATGGTCCAGATTTTCTGGCGCTGGCCTCGCCGAAGGAGGCATGCACACGTCCGAGCGATGCCGAGCCACAGCCTCGAGCGATCCAAAGGCGGGGGCCTTGTGCGAGACGGCACGCGGGCCTCACGCGGTGGCTCGCGCAGGCCGTCGACGCGGGCACGCTGCGCGGAAAGGGGGGCGTGGACACCTTCAAAGGGGCCCTGGGACACACACGCACACATAAACATACACAACCCCCAGGATCCCCTATTTTTTCCAACATTTTCTGGGATTGCGTCTTCCCCATCCACTTCCCATGTTTTCCAAGATTTTCCAAGGAATCGGCGATCAATTGTGTCTGTGTGTGTTTTTGTTCCCCCTCCTGAACCTTACGCGCCAATGTCCGCGCAATCGACCCCGTTTCTCTGCGTCGTACCTGACTTGGCAGCGAATGGCGGGAGTCGAGGAACAACGACGTCCGACCGTTAGGGCCAGACGAGCGCGTTCCACTACTCGCAAAATTCGCCAGACCAACGGGCCAGAGGCGTGCTAAGATCTCCGGTAACTGGTTAACAATATTTCTAGTTCGCGCGCGCGCGGGGCGGCCCCTGGGGGTCCCCCGGCGAAAAGTATCCCAACCGCAGCCCGACCAGGTCTACTCAGAGATGGTTTTGAGGGCCTTTTTTCGACACCACTCACGAGGATCGTGGCCTCCGAGGGGGGTGCACTCGACTACCCCGCCCCAAGAGGCTCCCAAGAGCCCCCCAAGAGGCCCAAGGAGGCCCCAAAACGCCGCCAAGGAAACCCAAGAGACCCCCAAGAGGCCCCCAAGAGGCCCCTAAAAGGCCCCTAGGAGGCCCCCAAGAGGCTTCAAGAGGCCCCACGGAGCGTTCGAGGGCCGGCGGAATGAGCGAAGCGATTAAATAACTACTCGCAAGTGGCCTGGATCGGCCGGCCGCGGGGGATCTACGATAAAAATCATCGAAGCAAGCATATGTTTTTTGCTCGGACGTTTGCGAGTAGGCACTTTGTGAGTAGTGGAGCGCGCTTGGTGAAGGGCCAATGTTATCTAGTATGCGCACAAGCCCCCGGCGTCTTCGGAAGATCACGGCGTTCTGAAAATCTTCGCCCCCCAAGGGCTTTGTTGGGCTCCAAGGTCATGAGAGAACAATCCGCGATGGAACTCCAGACCCGGGAGGAGATCGAGTCTTCTAGTATAGGGACCCCGTATTGAACGAGTCTAGAGAAGGACCAACATGCAGCTGCAAGTATCGCAGGACACGTGAGAAGGAAGGGGGGCCAGCACGCAATGGCATGGGCGAAACGGATTCGGCGCCGCCGTGAATCTAGCCACTAGGGCTTTATGGAGCTCCCTATGGGGCCACGAACCGTGTGAGGGGTCTGCCGAATCCGAAGCGGATGAAACGTGTGAGGGGTGTGCCGAAACGGAGGCGGCGCCGCCATGCGAACGCTGGCATTTGGGCCTTACTTCGAGCCCCCCTGTGGGGCCAAAAAACGTGTGACGGGTGTTCCGAAATGAGGCGGCGCCACCATGCGAACGCCAGCATTTGAGCCTTACCTGGAGCTCGCACTGGGGCTACTAAACGTGTGGTGTGTGTGGTGTGCCGAAATGAGGTGGCGGCGACATGCGAACGCTGGCATTTAGAGTCCCCTTTGTGGGGACACGACACGAGTGCGGGGTGTGCCGAAACGAAGGGGCGCCGCGATGCGAACGCTGGCATTTGAGCCTTACCTGGAGCTCGCCATGGGGCCACCAAACGTGTGAGGGGTGTGCCGAACTGAAGCAGCGCCGCCGTGCGACCGCTGTCATTTTGGCCCTCGTTCGAGCTCCTAAAAGGCAACTGAACGCGCAAGGGGTGTGAGGCGGAAAGCAGAGTCGGGAGGGGGGATGAGGGCAGGATGAGGAGGAGGAGGAGGAGGAGGAGGAGGAGGAGGAGGAGGAATAGAAGGGGAGAGGGGGAGGGGGAGGGGGAGGGGGAGGAGGAGGAGGAGGAGGAGGAGGAGGAGGAGGAAGGGCAAGAGGAGGAGGAGGACGAACAAAGGAGGAAACGGAATAAGCGATGCGGAGCGCGGCGCTCTCTTCAAAACGAGGACCCAGCACCACAGGATGGTTGTGTAAACACGCTATGTCTAGGGAAGCTTGCGGACCACGAACAACACATACCGGTAATCCCTGTTGTGTCTACTTGGGCGCTGGGTTCTGACACTGTATTAACTATTGAAGACGTTCGCTCATTTGGACGCCCAGGATGGGTACGGAAAAATTAGTACAATGCCCAACAACAAACGTCGTCCAAAACCGACAGCGGCCGCTGTCGGGCAGGCGGCTTTTGTTACCAATGAACAGCGTCCGCGGCGGCGCGGACAACTAGTCCTGATCAAAATGAATCGGAACTGCTGTTGGGCATCGTACCCATTCTTTCCGTACGGATTTCGGTCGTCCCGAGCTGGTCATCTGACAGCGGACATCGTTTAACAGTGGCCTGGTTCAAGCCACGGTGGCCTTCAACCTGGGGGGGAGGCGGGGCCTCCGTGCTAACTCCACCTGCTTGAGACAGGCGCCAAAAACAGCCAAGATCTACTCCATGGGAGAGGGGGGGGCGAGGGCCCGCGCCGATCGGCAAAAAGAATGAATCAGAAAACGATCACAATTGGCCTGGCTCAAACCGTGGTGGCCTTCAACCTTGAGCGTTCGCGCCAGCGCCGCCGCTGCGTCGGCGTGGCACGAGTCCGCCGTACACGTCGGGCTGTTTGTGTGTGGACGTGGGGTCCCGCACTGCCTTGGAATGCAGCCCCAGGGAGCAGAAACTACATGAGAGACAACACATCGGGTCTTGCGCGAGACGACGCAACGACCTTGCGCGGCGGCTTACGCGGGCCGCCATCGCGGCATGCTGCATTGGAGACCCGGGCGCTTACGCGCGACCTTACGCGAGCAACTTACGCGCCAACGTCAGTGAAGACGACCCCGTTCCTTTTGCGTCGTTCACATGTACCTGGCGCATGGAGAGGCTTCTTTACCCTCTTCATCATCGGTCTACTCAGCGTCCTGGCATTACTGTCGTGCTCCTTCCCCTCCTGCAAATTCCGTCTCATCCACCTGGTCTCTGATCTGCCAGATATCCCAATATTGCCAAATCGACAGACCCTCGCCCGCTTGCGTGGATGTACGCAAGCTCTCGCTCTTCTGGGTATTTTCCTCCGTCCTTCACAATTGCAAAACATGAGTACTACTCACTTCTCTCCCCTAACTGCGTTGGGGAGAAAGCCGGCCCTCTCCATGTACTGTTTCTTGCGCACCAATTTCAAAACCTGATTTCCCATCCGCTTTGTTTCAATCCGATTGCTTCGGTGTTTCAGAATGGTGCTCCCGCCGCGTGTGGGCCTCACTTTAGGATTGGCGGTTTGTTCTCCTCGTTCAGAATGGCGCTCTC